TAGACAATGAATAGACCCTCCTACTTTTGGAGGCAATTCTCAGATTAAAAAAAAAAAAAAAAAAAAAAAAAAAAAAAAAAAAAAAAAAAAAAAACCCCCTTTTTGTAATATCTCCTATATAAGGAGTGTCATTTGGTCTTGTAAGATAAGAAGTTTTGAATATAACAGAAATATACTCCTTCTTCCTCATATTTTCGGAGTTCTTCTTCTTCTTCATATTTTCTAAGTTATATTACAATGATTCATGATTCCTATATATAGAAGAGGGTGAGTGTGTGTAGTAGGTAAGGAGTAGGTGAAGTGGAGATGGTAGTGGTGTAGTGGGTTAGGTTTAGTGGAGTAGGTGAGGTGGCAGTGGTGTAGTGGGTTAGGTTTAGTGGAGTAGGTTTAAGTGGGTGAAGTAGGTGGAGAGTAGGTGGATTTTAACATTATTTTTTTTAGATTACTGAGCACTGGCTAGTGTCCATTGTTTACTATTTATTTTAAATTTAATTTTTTGGTATTGTAGAGCACTAGTTGGTATGAAGTGTTTGTTATTAAATTTTGAATTCTATTTTTCGGGATTGCATAGCACTAGCTAGTGTGCTTCATTTGGTGTTTAGTAATTTTTTGGTATTGCAAAGCACTAGATGGTGTGCATTGTTTATTGTTTATTTTAAATTTTCATTTTTAAAACTTGCAGAGCACTGGCTGGTGTGTATTATTTGGTATTTATTTTTAATTTTAATTTTTTGAAATTGCAAAGCACTGTCTAGTGTGCAGTGTTTGTTGTTTAATTTTGAATTCTATTTTTCGATATTGCATATCACTGACTAATGTGCTTCATTTGGTGTTTAGTAAATTTTTTATTTATTTATTGTAAAGTATTGATAGATGTACAATAGCTTTAGCTGGTATTATTTGGTAACGAATGAATAATGAAAACAAAATATTTATGATTAAACAACAAATATATATACCCGTGCCTAGACATTGTTATCTTTAATTCAATTCTATAGAGTGTGTGGTACCAACAAATGTGTGGTACCAACAAAATTGTTGGAAGTGTTTTAAAAATAATATTTCTTTATATTTCTCAATGTCTTAAGTTTTTGGTATGTTTTTCAATAAATTACATTTCTATTCAACTACATTTTGATCTCAATATTATTTACATAGTGACATTGGGCACGAGCATACCTTTTATTTTGTACTTTACATACCTCTTATTCTTCACTTTTTCCACTTCTTTTTCTCTCATTACGAAAATCATTTAACACCAAGGTAAAAATCTCATCTCTCTCTTTATGTATGTGCTCTTCTTATCTTGATTGTAACCCTCTCTTTGAAATTAATTTTTATATTTTATTATCCGATTTGCTACTAAAATTGTTAAAAGTTCTTTAAGAAGAATAATATTTCCTTGTATTTTTTCAGTGTCTATTGAAAATCAAAAAATGTTAAAGACTCTACAAATGTTAACATGATGCGTATAAATTACAACTGCATTTTGATTCTAACATAATTTACACCGTGCCTTTAGGTAGTTCAATTTCTCCATCTATGACATTCATGCATAAATGAACTTCTTAAAGTGGGTTGTTAACTAAAATATGTTAGGAGGTTATTAATTTTGTGTTGATTAAATTTTCTTTATGGCAATTATTAAACCTCATTCTGTCTTATAGTTATATCTTTGTCAAATTTACATAACGAAACACTTTCAGGTTGAGACACCATTGACCTTCAATCTCTAATTATGGGCAACATTACTATTTTTAGTCACGTAAATTGTTTTCTTTTATATTTATTTGAAAAAAAAATACACCTTTCTTATAAGTTGAAGTCAATTTTCTTTTATTTTCATTATTTTTTTTTATCTAATTTCCTTATAACAAAATGCTCTTTTCTTATAATTTACAGATGGATGGAGACCTATGCCGAACTGTAATATCGACTACTTTTACTCATTTTCTAAGATGTATAAATTTTTTTATTTTTTTTACCTATAATTCTTTTGTAATTATAGGTTCAGTTTCTTCAAGAAAGAAATGCTAACGTTGTCATCCGTGATGAATGTGACCTTAATGTCATCCGGGGTTCGAGAGGTAGGCCCAATTTAATTAGATAGAATTTTTTTTTCTTCAAAACACCATATATTCTTATTTACATTATTTTAAAAACTTTCTAAATATATATATTTTTACTTTTTGAGGCAAAGGAAAAAGAAATTGCCACCATTTCGGGCAAGGGAAAGGAAAATGCATGTTCAGTAGTATGGCGCTTCAACATTTTCATTTTAAGTTCTTTTTTTGAAATATTTATTTTGGAGTATGAACCTCGATCATTTTTTTGGTTTTTTTTTAAATGTAAATTAGCATACTACTTGCATATACTGTTTAGAGTAAACAGTTTCATGTAAATTTGAAAAATGTTTTTTTGTAAAATTTCTTATCGATGTGAATTTTATTACTTACAATAGTTTTGTAAAGCCTTTTATCTATGTGAAATTTATAACCAAGTTTAGATGTATGTTAGATAATATTCATTTGAATTATTATTGGTTTATGCTATGAGTTTGTTTTTGTAAATGTAACACACTAGGTGATAGTCTTTTTTTGTTTTTTGTGTTTTCTTCCTAATATGCTCTTGAATTAGGTTAAAGAAAGCTAATCATATTTTTATTTGGTTGAATTTGAATTTTTGCTTCCATATATATTTTTATCAGGAAGGTTCTTGCTTTTCTATTAAGTTGATAATTTATTTTCATATAGGATTGGATTGTGTACGTATTAATCTATTTAAATAATTGTTCATCTGGAGTGCTTTATTTATTTGTCATTTTTTTCTATCATCGAGCATTGATTGCTGTGCTTAATTTGTTATTTGCCATTTTTTTTTTATTGTAGAATACTGGTTGAAGTGCTTGATTTGTTGTTTTGCATTCTTTTTGTATTACAAAACATTGGTTGGTGTGCTTAATTTGTTATTTGACATTTTCCTTGTATTGCAGAGCACTAGCTGGTGTGCTTAATTTGTTGTTTATTTTTTTCTATTGCAGAGCACTGGCTGGCGTATTTCGTCTGACTTTTATTATATGTTTATGTGTTGTTTGTTTAAACTATTATACTTTTGTTGTGTTTGAATTTTACGTAGCATTTATGTGTTTACTTTTCACTATTTAATTTACTTATAATTTTATATTCAATTACATTTTCATTCAAACAATATTTTAACCGTGTACACTAGTATATATATATTCAAGGGGGTGGCTGGCCCATGTGGTGTGGATTTGAGGAGCTTTTTTTCCTTGATTTATGTGTACAACTGGTATCTAATTGGAAGATATTTGTATACAAAAAAAATTGAATATGATTAAAGGTACATATATGTATATAATGGTACTAGTTTTGAGTCAAAATCTGATCCAAGAAAAATATGAGGGCTAAAATCTTAGTTTATGAATTTGAATATTTAATGAAGTGTAGTATTTAATTTAATTAGGATTTAAAAATTCAATTTGGTTCAAGTTTCTTTATTTCGGATTAAACTGTGAATCATACTGAGAATCGGAAACCTAGGATTTTTGTGTGTAAAATATAATTAGAAAATTAATTTAATTATTATTAGGGTTTTGGAAATGATTCCTGAGCTCCAGGTTCAATCAAGGTTTTTGAGTTTTCGGTTGGCGCGCACGTTCAACTCTATAACTAGAATTGAAAACAAATAAAGATTTGAGGGTCTTTATTGAAATATTTCAAAAGTCAAGGACTTAATAGATTTTACAAAGGTTAGAGACCTCACAAACTAACTCTAACTCTATTTTTTTATTTAAAAAAAGCACTTTTAATTTAACACTTACAGTTTATATCTTTTTTTATGGATGATCTATTAATTATTTAAATTCAAGAAAAAAATAATAAACATTCAACATTTATCAAAAGCACTAAATAAAATAGGAAAAAAGACAACTTGACATGTCTCCAATGTGTTACCGAAGTATTTCTAGCATGTTCCTTGAAAATAAATTAATTAAATAAGGAGACGCGCCATGTGGTGTGTGCCATTCGTGTCCCCGAAGTGTCCCGTGTCCCTAAAGTATCCATGTGTCCGACACGGATACATCACTCGTTTTGAAGTGTGTAAAATAAATTGAGATGTATATTATTGATTGATTTGTATTATATTTATTACAATGATTCATGATTCCTATATATAGAAAAGGGTGAGTATGTAGTAGGTAAGGAGTAGGTGAAGTGGAGGTGGTAGTGGTGTAGTGGGTTAGGTTTAGTGGAGTAGGTGAGGTGGTAGTGGTGTAGTGGGTTAGGTTTAGTGGAGTAGGTTTAAGTGGGTGAAGTAGGTGATAGGTTTTAACAAAGTGTCGGTGCTTCATAGCAAATAATGATTAATTAACTATGAAACCTATCATTTGTTCACAATTTCCACCTATCTAATCTTGGAGAGCACAAGAAAATCATCAACGTAGATTAGGAAAACATAAGAAACAAAAAGTAAATGTGTGAAAATCTGTGCTATGAAAAACAATTTTACAGGTACTTTAGTTAAATCAGCATGGCCATTTACTTCCATATTTGATTTCAAAATGATTTGGGCATCACAGATTTATAACTTTTAAAGGTACCCTCATCTCATTCTCAGTACATGAATGGTGCAAAGAAATCCTCTTTGTAGAGCATTCTCCAAAACGTGAAGAATAGAACATGAAACATAACAATAGAGCAACCGTAATGATGATGGAGGCATAAATTCACAGAACTGTATTACTACCATGTAATGTTTGCATGTTATCCCTATGTAGTGTCCATAAGGACTGTTTTTGCTGTCATTCTTGAGTGCATGTATATGTGCTATGATGAAAAATACAGCTCCCAGCAGCATCTTAATACATACAAACATAAACCACATAAAACTGGGAACCATGACATTTACTCAACAAATAAAAAAAAATAAAAAAAAATAAAAAAAAAAAAACAAAACAAAAAACAAAATTTGTTGTGTACCTTGAAGAGCTGCATTGAAGGAGAAGAAACTACCATTAACACAGGGTCCATAAAGAACCTGCCCTGTAATCATTTTCTTCAAGGTAGTGATTACGTCTCGCTTTGGTAGGATTCTAGCTACAAAGTTAAACCACATGTGCTGTGATGGCCCTACAATAAGCATCCCAAATCCAGCCATACGTAATGACCTCATTGAGTCAAATGAACCGGAAGGTGGCAATGTAATCATCTGCCAGGTACTTGCATGTTTTTAGCCAAGAAGAAGAATTGATTAATGGTTCAATAAACATGTGCATTACAGAAACAAAAGTTTAGGAAATTACACGTCCAGTTTCTCAAATAAATTCACTAACGTTGTTCACCAACCTTTTTCCTTTCCGTTTCCAAATCACTTCCTAAATCTTTGAACCAAACACAGCCTAAAGTAAGATGTATCTAATTGCTTACATGGAAGTATGATTGCAACTGTAAACTTTTTGTTTTTTTTTAAAAAAAAAAATTGGGTTGGAAGTTAATTGCTTTGATTTTATTTGTTTATTTATTTTTGATAAATAACCCCATGTTAAGTTAATTGCTTTGATTGGTATATGATCCTAAATAGAAGCTTCGTAAGCAATTCTTCCCTATCCAAATTTTTAACGTATGTTTTATACAATACTCAAGTTTGTTAAGGAAAAAAAATTCTTTTATCTTGTTTGTAAGTAATACAAACACCCATGTGTCACTTTGGACTTGAATCTTGTACCTCAATAGGCAGTGCCTACCTCATGAGAATTCTAGAAGATACCAGTCAAGCTAACAGCTAGAGCTCATGCTTTTGGAAATGCCTAAATCCATCCATTTCAAATTTATCCTAGATTTAGGCCCCATTTGTTTTAATGGTAATGTTTTTTGGGACGATAAATTCTTCATTTTATCATGTTTGGTGCAAACCACTCAAAAATCCTTTTTTTCCTAGGGACATAAAATATTTTTAGAACTTAAATCCTTAGGTTATTTACACCATTCGAACTCATCTGAACCATTTGCCAATGCTAAATAAGATGACTAAGGAGGTTCCCTTCATCTGAACAGTAATCTCTCAGCCAGTCTTTAATGCTGGCAACCCTTTTGTTGAGTGCTTTTCAGTTCTTTTCCTCTTTCTATATATAAAGGGGCATTTTGCGATATTGTGATCACGAATTCAAATGTCAAACCATAAAAACAGCCTCTCTGCACACACACGTAAGATTGTATATATCTGACCCGTCCCCATGATAAGATTTACTATTGTCTCTGCAATCAGCCTGCCTCCTCCTATCTCTTACATGTTCAGTTCTATTCATTCTATTTTATTTTTCTAATTTTTTTTTTTTCTTGTCTATTGACCTAATCCTGGCTTTCAATGCCCATCAATTGCTTGATGAAATGCCTAGACTTAATTTATTTATTTTTTCTATTTTGCATCTTAAATTCTTTAAGGTACAAATCGAATTGAGACCATTAAGCTGCATTGCCTTATGACTGAGAATCTACATACATAAAGTGATCGCCGCTGATCTAAATAACACCAATGCAGTCCAGTATAGTCATTGGCATTAAAACAAATGAAAATTTAAAAAAAGAAACAAGAATGTGGAATCAGATTTACATCCAGTTTTTTACCTGGGATGTCAAATCGGCGACCATGTAAATAAGGGAAGAAGTGATGGCTTTTGTGAGGATGGGTCGGGAATCGAGCTTTCCCAAATACCATCCGAGAAACCCCATCTTCGAATACGAATAAGACGACGAAGACGAATATGACCTTGTCTTAGTGAGCTGGTGAGGAGATCGAGTGTATGACGATCTGCATTGGTGGTGGTGGTGGTGGTGGTGATTCAAGAGATATGGAGAATCGGCCCAAACACCGGAATTGGCAGAAACACGTCGCGAAGAGGATTGGAGGACGGAAAGTTTGATTAGGTTTGTGGTAGAACTGATTCCCATATTTCTGTGATTTGATTTCCTTCTTTTGTGGAGTGGCCTTTTGGAAGGAAACGGGTCTGTTGTTTGGATCAAAATCAAAATTTAATTGTGAACCCGCAGAGTGCAATCTACTCACCGTCCCGTAACCGTTTTCTGGAAGTTGTAGGCCTAGCCGAAGGTACTGCTGCCTAAAAATAACAGGAAGTGGGCCCTTCTTTCTCCACAAATTTTAATTCCAATTTTGGGAAACACTGTTTGGGCTGTTGGTAACTCTTAGGTTTTTAATTTTTTATTTATATTTATAAAAATTTTAAAAATTCAAATAAAAATTTATTTGGTAAAATTTTTGATTTATAAATCAGTTGTCTCAATTTATATATTTGATCAAAAAATAAAAACACAAAAAATATATTTCCGTTTTGAGTTTTGAGTTTTTTTTTTTTTTACCACCCAACACTAGCCACCACCCGTCACCATTTTTCACCACCGTCTTCCGTCACCACCACCCATCCCCCACCCCCTACCACCACCTGCCACCACTACCCACCACCACCCACCCCTCGCCGCCGCCACCACCACCACCCACCTGCCATCCACCCGCCATCACCCACCACCCGCCACTACCATCCACAAACCGCCACCACCACCCGCCACCTACTTGCCACCACCACTCACCACCCACCTGCCACCACCAGCTACCTGTCACCTACTTGTCACCACCACCACCACTACCACCATCACCCACCACCCACCCACGATGACTACTTTCATCATCATTGTTATTAGGATAAATTACATTTACCTCCCTTGAGATTTCTGACAAATACAGGGACCTCCTCTATGGTTTGAATAATTACAGTAACCTCTCTTACTTTACCTGACAATGTCAAGATTCTCTCCCATTCCGTCTATTTTGCACAAACGACGTTAGTATCCAATAGAAAATGACCATGTTACCCTTGTTTTTGGTTGCAAAAAGACCACCACCGTCTTCCGCCGCCACTTGCCACCACTTGCCATTTCTCACTCTTTTTTTATATTTTTAAATTTTTTTAAATATTTTGTCAATAACCAAACGCGTTTGTAGTTTATGTTTTTTCTAAAAATAAATAAAAAATAAACAAAAAACAGTTTATAAAATTTTTATAAATATAAACTGAAAACGTAAACGTTACCAAACACACCCTATGCACCCTAGCCACCTCAACAACTTTTTTAAAAAAAATTAATGTTTTAAATCATAATTTTTTTTAAAAAAAATCATAACTAAACATAATATGTGTAACAACCCTCACTTCTGATTAGTGTTAAACTGTGATTGAGCATGATAAGTGATTGATTAGACTGAAATCCTTAATTAATTGTGTGAGTGTGTTGTTTAGAATGCAATTCTATCTATTTGTCATCGAATGATCTGTTCATGTTTTGACTTCGAATTGCGAATTGAAAGCCTTGTCGGCGACCGACTTAGAAATTGATGAGTGTTTTATGCTAATTAGGATTTATGTGATTTTATGGTAAGTTTAATTAAAATTTGATTTTGAATGATTAAATTAGATTAAATAAAGTTAAATTACATTAGTTTGCATTTACCATCAAATTGTCATTGAGTGGATTAGTGCTAGGCCATTTATCTTAGTCTTGATTCACATGTGTTTGGCATCATCCTTCATCACTTTTCCTAGACCAAACATGAGAGAGAGAGAGAGAATTGGGAGAAAATTGAGTTCAACAAGGAGTCTTGCTTGAGACTTAGAAGAATTGAAGGGAATTTGCATATTTGGACTTCTATACTTACAATTCAAGACCTAAGGTAGGAATTCATCTTCTTAATTATGAATTTGAGTTGTTTCTTGCATGGTTCACGGAACATTGGAGTTTAGAGTCAAGAATTAGCTTAATGTGTTAAATTAAGAGTCCATCCATGCATGCATGCCCTTATGTTGGAGTTTTGAGATTGTTTTCATGAAAATTCTTACATGCATGTCCTTGTTTTGGTTGTAATCCATGAATTCACCATGACTTTGAGCTCAAGCTTGCATTTGATTATGTTTTAGAGCATTAGAGTTCATAGGAACTCATGCATGTTATGTTCTTGCATTATTCTTTAAGTTTCATCCAAAATTGTGTTCAATTACCACACATTTGGACTTGATTTCATAAAATGATCTTTGAAACATGTTGTATTGTGGGTTTCTATGTGTTTTCAAGAAAATTAGCCTAGAAAAATCGAGTTTGAAGCTTTAATGCTTGAGTTTTGTGCTTGGGGATCAATCTGGAAATTCCAGATTTTTAATCCACGCTCGAGCGTACCCTCTGAGTACATGCACTTCCGCTCGAGTGTCGATAGTCACGCTCGAGCGTGAAATGCATATGCCTAGAAGTTCTTGTGTTTTGCAGTCCGCTCGAGCGAGAGACTTCACGCTCGAGCGAGGGTCTGAGTCTTACGCTCAAGCGTGGGTCGAGCGTCCATCGAGCGTAAAAAACATGCAATCAGTACTTTTTCTTGTGTTTGCAGTCCGCTCGAGCGGGGGAAGTCACGCTCGAGCGGAGCTCCTTTGTCTGCATGTCCGCTCGAGCGTAGAAAGCCACGCTTGAGCGAGACCCCTGTTTTCAGCAAATTTTGAAAAGTATTTTAAAGTGTAATTTTTGTATCCTCATCCCATCCTAGGCATTCCTAGGCGAAGTTTAAGACATCTAATGGGGATAATGTTATAGAACCACACCGAGTCAAGTTTAAGGGCTAAGCTATTAATCCCAAATGTGTAACTTAGTGTATGTGTGTTCGTTCTGCATCTGTGTAGGGTTGGCACCCGAGGACACTGACTAGCCTGTCTATAGCCCAGTACTCTGTGAGTAACAATGTTGTAAAGATATATTCAATTATAACTATTTCTGAACGACTGATTATATTGCTTTCCGAAATGGCATCGTTTACTGAATGAATGTTTGTTCTATTTGTAAACCGTATTCGTGGCATCCTTAACAACTTACTATTACTGTATTATTACGGCTACTGCTACTATTACAGAGATCTCTATCAGTTCCAATATTTGGAACTACTACTGTTTACTGTTATAATGGCCATCAATTAACTGTTCGGTCTATTAAGACCTACTGTACTGTTTGCTATTGGATGTACCACATATGACTATTATGGCATGAAATATGAGCCACTGATTGAATAACTGATTTACTGATGCAAATGACTATTTTAATTAATGAAAGGACATTCATTCTTAACCCCTTTACGCATATGTTATTCACTGGGCTTTAGCTCACTGTTTATATTTATATGTAGGTGTCCAGGCACCGGACCGGAGCTAGAGGCGTCGAATTAAACTCCCTTTTTGTCAAGCCAACCACTGTGCCTCACTTCGAGGTCCCGAGTTCGTTAAGCTAAGGCTGTTTTGGGGTGTTGTAGTTTCCCTCCTTTTGTCTCTGTTTTGTACTAACTGAATAAGTCTAGACTGTACAGCTATAGTGAAGGGATCTAGTCCCTAACCTAGATGATTGTGTATAGTTTGTATGTACATATGTTTCGGTTATGAATGTAGCTTTGTTCATAAAAGTCTTTTTGCCTTCAGGTTTCACAACTCATTGGACATCTTTTATTTACTGTTTGGCTTCCGCCAGCCCCTTTTCTTTGTATTATTTGTTATTACTGTTAAGCAGGCCTTTGGTAATCACGAATTACTGGCCAGTTACGATACTAAACCCATAGGGGCGGGTTTGAGACATAACTAAAAATTTCATGGGTGATAAATAAGAAAATTGATTATAAATAAAAAAAGAAAATTACATAATTAAGGGTGCACATAGTACACCATTTTTAAAGGAGTGCATATTAGAATTTCTCTCGAATTTTACATTAAATGTTAAGGGTAAATTACCAATAAGTCATAATAATTGGACTTAATTTTCATTAAGTCCTATTAAAAATAAGTCATAAAATCGTCACTAAAAACAATTTTTTGTAACGATTTTTAGCATATGTCGCTAAAAATTAACGATTAGTGACTTTTTTGTCATGATTTTTATAAATTGTCTCTAAAATTTACAATTATTTTTCTGTGATGAATTTTTTAAACTGTCGCTGAAAGTTAAAAATTAGTAACGTTTTTTTTAATGATTTTTTTAAACTGATGCTAAAACTTATAAGTAAATTTTTTAATAGTATTTGATAAAAAAAAATATCATTAATTATCATAGGATCTATTGGACAATAAATCAACCCATTAGAACCTACATATAAGTCTCCAAATATTAATTTATAGTTCAAATTTATTCTATTGTATTTACATTAAACTATTTCAATATTCACCACATAAATATGGGTAAAAGTTAGACTAATTTTTCTTGGAAAAATGCTAGAGGTGCATATCATATAACATCAATTACAAATTATATAATCTTGTTACAAATTATCGTAACTAAATTATAAAATTTTATAATAAAATTACACATTTTTATGGGTGTTGGTATGCACCCCTAGAGAGGTGCACACCATAAGGTTTCATTTTTCTTAGTCCCCTCTCTCTTTCCTATCCATCCAAACTTTTATATTTTATTTTTGAAAATTTTAAATTATGTGTAATAAATACATTGTTTTTATTTTATTGTTTTTTATTTTTATTTTAAAAAGTTTAACAATATTACTAAAATTTACCCTAAAACCCCCCATTTTTGAGCATCTCTAAAAGATGCTTTGTTCTTCAAGTAAAAAGTCAAAGTTGACAATAATTCTTTCAAATATATCACAAATACACTATTATTTTCTATGTCTAGTTACAATATTTCTAAAATTTATGTTAAATTTGATAAAGATTCTTTTCTCTTTTTTTGATGGGTCTCATTAATGATATATAAATATACATATATAATAAATAACATTTGAACCACTTAAGTAACATTGTTCATTCTCTTTACGTAGCTACTATGTAGGGTGTAGACGTCCCCGAACGTCCCGGGAGGAACGAGCTCCCGTTCTGTTCATTTTGGGGTCACTACAGCTCAGGACTCTCAAATTTGTCACGGTTCTAAGTCTGAACCAAAGAGTCCAAATCCGGCAAATCGTTTTGGGAAGACTGATTTTTGAAAGAAGTGCCAAACATGGACTGCTTTGCCAGATACAGAGTCGCCACCTAAATGTTTTTAAAATGGGAAATTTAGGAAACCCTGACTCGGTGCCAAAGGCCACGTGTCC